AATTTTTTCTTTCCACAACAAATTTTAAAGTTAAAAGCTACAATTAATGCCGTTATAACATTTTCAATATCTCAATTCTATCGACTAGGTGTATGGTGTCAAGTTAGCACTACATACCATTTTTTCTTAAAAAACGAAAGCTACAAATTTTTTCTTTCCACAACAAATTTACAACAAAAACACTACAATTAATGCCGTAGTTAACTTTTCCAAATTCGAAAAGTGTAGTGCTAACTTGACACACGTTTAAAAACGGAGGATGAACGAACACCACCGCAAAGCGTGCTGTCTTGCAAATACAGCCACCACAAGTGAACGATGCTTATAACAGCTCATACTGTGCACGATCATTCGGAGTACAGATTTGCCGAAGTCAATATCAGTATGAGCAGTTATAAGCATCGTTCACTTGTGGTGGCTGTATTTGCAAGACAGCACGCAATGCGCTCGTGTTCAGTCATCCTCTAATTTCGTTTAGGTATCGTTACTACTAAGCCAACGCCGCTGCTCAGTCATACAAAGCAGCGGTATTGAATGAGTATGAACAGTTGACGATCAACCAATGCCAATCCCTGCTTTACACATACGTATTATTGTTATTAGTATTAATATTATTGCGGCGGGGATACTCGCGCTGCGACCTAAGAAGATCTGTTGTGCTTAAGCCTATTTCTAATCACTCACACCTTAGGCTATTTAAAAAGTTATGCACTTTGGAGGGCACCATGTTTAAAATTTTGGATGAAGAAGACAATCGTTCCCCTAGGTGTATCAGTCTGCTATTCATGATACGTGGACAAACACATTAGAATATGCTCTAGGGCTTCCTCCACCAGCTCACAAAATGCTATGGACCATGCAAGTCCATTTGGGCTCCAGGCTTTGGAGACAGTCAGCCCTTTCGTTGCCTTCATGTCCCGGAACCCACCACAGTATTACGCTACTGTGGGCCTCCAAGTGGTTCAAAAGAGTTTTACAGCTATCCACAAGCCTGGTACCGTTTTAAAAGAGTCTAAGGCCTTTAACATGCCTGACTATCCGAGATTATATTTATTTTGGTCCCATTTGTCCTTCTACACAGACCTTGTAGGGTTTGTAGAAGGATAGCTCGGGATTATCCAGGAATGCCTTTTGGACCTCCAAATAATCCAGAAGGTCTCCAATTTTCTTGGTGATCATATTGGTCAGTCGTAGGGCGCTCCAGCAGGCCTCTTTCAAACAGAATAGACAAAGGAGGAATGCCTGTAATGACATAAAGGGCATCCGTTGGACAGGTGCCCATATCTCCTGTGATGGCCTCGCGGACCAGTCGGCGCAGCTTGCACAAGGTGGCACCCGCCTTTATTTTCTTAGCTTTTGACTATCAGGCCAGTGCCACATATATGACAACGGGTCTTACTACCGTATTGAAGGCCAATATGTTAGTTTTAATGATATTCCCCAAGTCTTACCATAAAATCTCTGTCAGGTGGATAACGGTGGACCTCAGTGAGTTTATTGGCAAGTCTTTTTCATCATACCAGTCTTCAGGACATATCGTCGCCTGGGTAAAAGATTGTCGTATGTTGATTTCGGCAGGTTGTGGGAAATCGCGATTGAAGTTTGGAATGCAATTTCTCAAAAACACGAAGATAGATATTCTCCAAAGTCTCTGAAAATGTTACTAGTTCACAAAATTCTTAAATTATTTAATTTTTAGTGTTTGATGTTAATTCGTTTTGAGTTTATGAAGGATTTTCTTTAGTAAAATTTTGTCGTAAGCGTCATTTGTCCACAATTTGGCAGCCACTTTGTATGAAATACGACAAAATGTGATCAACATTTCTACGAAATTAACGACACTTTTTACTCAATATCTCGGAAACTAAAGGAGATAACCAAAAATGGAGCACGCCATTTTTAAGATATTGATTAGTTAAATATGTCTGCATCACTAAATAAATTTTTACTAAATTATAGAAAAATTTGTAATCAATATCACGGAAACTAAAGGAGATATCTAAACACTGATAACACGAATCGAAAGACCTTATTTCAAAATATATACACCCCTATGCTGTAATCCGTCGTAGATTCGATTTTCCTACGAATCGTAAAATTGGTATGCGGAAATCCGCGTTGTCGTATCGTAATTTCGAAATTCGTAGGCCATCT